CAATTGGTGGCAAGCGACGGGATTCAAACCTCACAGCAGACCGTTGTTCGGCAGATCGAGCCATTCGTGGAAATTTTCTATTCGTATTGAACCGAAGGGAAAGGGTATGTGAATATACCCAAACAGATAATGAATGGGGTCAGATTATACAATCTTGAAACGGGCCACGCTAAAAGAACTATTGGAAGCAAGGGGAATTATTGCCAGCAATAAAGCCAAAGATACCCTTATTGCTGAACTCATGGAGGGAGACCGGGCAGCTGCTGCAGCACCTCTTATGGACAGCACACAGAACAAGTTTAGAAGAGAACTCCAAAGCAGACTGGCCTTTTTCCCAGGTACACCTCCCATGGAAACCGTGGAAAGGATTATGGCAGATGTCCACGAATATTTAATGGCAAAGCAGCAGGCAGACCCGAGGTCCAGAGAGGGGTCCCCAACCCCACCCCGCATAGTACAAGGGAAACCTAAAATTCCGTACCATGCTTTTAAAAATTATGTGGAAACCAAGGACATTGATGGCTACTTGCATGACTTTGAGAAGTTATGCCAACTGCATGAGATTAACGCTGCTGACCAGGTACCCCTGCTGGTGGGCAAACTAGCGGGCCGGGCAGCGGAAGCCTACCGCACCATGCCAGACGAGGCCAGCAGGGACTACCAGAAAGTGAAGCAGGCCATTCTAACTAGGTATGCCATCACCCCAGAGGCATACCGGCAGTGGCTCAGAGAAAGCCGAAAGACAGAGAGAGACACCCACATGGAGTGGGCACACCGCTTAACTAGGGCTGGCAAGGGATGGGTGCAAGCCGCACAAGCAACAACAGTAGAGGATATGTTACAATTACTGCTACTGGAACAATTCTTCCAGGGGTTAACTCCGGATTTACAAAACTGGCTGAGGGATCGAAAACCACGCACCTTAACCGACACAGCCAGGTTGGCGGACGAGTACCAAGATGCCAGAAGGGCACAGCGGGCACAGTCACGGCCCACCTCGGGAGCTGCTACCACACCTCCCACTGTTACCACCACCCCATCACTTCGTCCTGGTGGTGGGAACTACCAAACCCCTCCACGGTACAACAATGCCCGATCTTTCATCCGGTGTCACACGTGTAACCAGCAGGGCCACATACAGAGAGACTGTCCCAGGAACAAGAACCGCCCCACGTGGAATACTCCAACTAATTCCCCTGCAAACCGGGCAGCTGTACACTGCTACCAGAGTGAGCCCCGACAACCTTCCTTTTGAGCCGGATCCACTGAAGAATCCTTGTGCACCGACAGGGGCATCGCCAAGGGGTGCACGTAGAGGGGCCACCATAACTCTGGTGCGCAATCACCTAGTTCCAAAGAACCAGCTCACTGGAGAATATGTGGCAGTCCGGGTGGCAGGGGGAGCTATTTACAAAATTCCTGCTGCCAAGGTACATTTGGATTGGGGAGCGGGGTCAGGGAATGTGGAAGTGGGCCTTATGCAGGATTTACCAGCCGATGTCATCTTGGGTAACGACTTGGGGGAGCTGACCTCCGCTTTTGTTTCTCAGCACCCCGCGCAAGAAGCGCTACCCGATGTAACACGGCAGCAGGCTCGCACTACCGCATCTTCCGAACACTCTGAGGCTCAGGTAAGCAACAGTCCTACCCCCCCTTTCGTTCCCTGGGCTTCCCCCTTAGAATTTGGTACTGAAGTAGTCACCGACCCGTCCTTGCTGGTATACCGGGATAGGGTTACACAGAATCAGGCGGGATTGGAAGGGGAGAGTTATGCTTGGGAGAAAGGATTACTGTATAGGTATGCCGAGAAGGTGGTAGCAGGATCCGTACCCATGACCCTCACACAATTAGTGGTTCCTAAAAAGTACAGGCAAGAGTTGCTACGTATTGCCCACGACATCCCTTTGTCAGGACATCTAGGCGTCAGTAGGACGAAGCATCGTTTGACCCAAAACTTCTTTTGGCCAGGGGTCTCCAAAGAAATCCGGCAGTATTGCCAAACTTGCGATACGTGCCAGAGAGTAGGGAAGAGAGGGGACCGATACAAGGCAAAAATGCACTCCCTTCCCATAATAGAAGAGCCCTTTAGTAGTGTGGCAGTTGATATAATTAGACCCTGTCCAAAACCCAGTCCTTCCGGGAAAAAGTATATCCTAACAGTAGTGGACTATGCTACCCGGTACCCAGAGGCAGTGGCCCTAACTAATATCCATGCAGAAACTAGAGTGGATGCCCTGATCCGGATATTCTCCAGAATTGGGTTCCCCAAGGAGATTATCTCGGATCGGGGTACCCAATTCACGGCCGAAGTCACTCACCAGTTATGGAGAACATGTGGGGTTAAACCTATTGTAAATTCAGCATATCACCCCCAGACCAATGGGCTCTGTGAACGTTTCAACTGAACATTAAAGCAAATGCTCCGTACGTTCATGGATACCCAGAAGGACTGGGAAAGGTTTTTTCCCCATCTGCTCTTCGCTTACCGAGAGGTACCCCAGGAGTCCACAGGGTTCTCGCCATTCGAATTACTATTCAGAAGGAGAGTGCGGGGTCCTTTGGACCTCATTAGGAAACACTGGGAAGGAACTGTCACCAGTAACGGTACCCCTATCGTCCCCTATGTGCTAGAGTTCAGGGAGCGCTTGGAGACCCTAATCCAGACAGTACGGTCCAATCTCCAGACGGCCCAGCAACGACAGCGCAGATGGTACGATAGGGGAGCCAGGGGCCGCAGTTTTCAAATAGGACAAAAGGTGTTAATCTTGAAGCCTGTCCAAAATGACAAACTGCAGGCCTCCTGGCAGGGCCCTTATAAGGTGGTTGAACAGGTATGTGACACCACCTATATAATTGGCCCATGTACTGGAGCGGGCGGTAAACGCATGCTCCATGTTAACATGCTGAAACCGTATCACGAGCGGGCCGAGGAAGTAACTGCCATATGTGCCTCGGCCGCCGAGGACCCAGACAATTTACCACTACCGGACCTATTAGAAAAAGGGGGGCCCGGCACGAAATTAGGGGAAGTACAGCTGGGAGACAGGCTGAGCCCTAGAGAACGGGCTCAGATACTAGAGCTGATTAGAGAGAAAGGGGATACTTTTTCCAATCAGCCCGGATATACCCCGCTGGCCACCCACAGGGTAGAAACCCTAGGGCAACACCCTCTTCGTCAAACCCCCTACCGCATACCAGAGTCTGTAAAAGAAGAAGATTGACGAATGGGCCTCTCCGGTAGTGCTGGTGCCGAAGCGGGACCGAACCACCCGCTTCTGCGTAGACTACCGGAAGCTTAATGATAAAATGATTTCCGATGCCTACCCTATGCCCCGAATCGATGAGCTCCTAGATAAAATGGCCAGGGGCCAGTACCTCACCACAATAGACTTGTGCAAAGGGTACTGGCAGATCCCACTAGCCGAGGATGCCATCCCAAAGTCTGCATTCGTCACCCCGTTTGGGCTATACCAATTTAAGGTGATGCCATTCGGGATGAAGAATGCGCCGGCTACCTTTCAGAGGATGGTAGATCGGCTACTGGACGTATCCCAGGAGTATGCTTATTTAGATGCCTATTTAGATGATATAGCGATATTCAGCAACTCCTTGGACGAACATTTAACTCATATAGGAGACATCCTCGACCGTATGAGGGAGGCAGGTCTAACGTTAAAGCCCAGCAAGTGCCATGTAGGGATGGCTGAAGTACAATACTTGGGCCACAGGGTAGGCAGTGGGCAGCAAAAGCCAGAACCTGCTAAGATAGAGGCTGTAGCTAAGTGGCCGACCCCTCGCACGAAAACCCAGGTTTTAGCCTTTTTAGGGACCGCCGGTTATTACCGTAAATTTGTGCCCAATTATAGTGCCCTAGCGAAGCCCCTTACTGACCTCACCAAGACGAACCTGCCCAAAATAGTTACCTGGAGCCCAGAGTGTGAGCAGGCATTCCAAGAACTGAAAACTGCCCTAATTCATGCACCTGTACTTGCCGCTCCCGATCCAACTAAACGCTTTCTCATTCATACAGAAGCTTCTATGTTTGGATTGGGAGCAGTGCTGAGCCAGGTTGGGGCCGATGGCGGCGAACATCCAGTTGTTTACTTGAGCCGGAAACTACTACCCAGGGAAGTATGCTATGCCGCCATCGAGAAGGAATGCCTGGCGGCGGTGTGGGCCCTCAAGAAACTACAGCCCTACTTATATGGACAACAATTTGCCTTGCTCACAGATCACAACCCGTTGGTGTGGCTAAACCGGGTGTCAGGGGACAACGCTAGACTACTGAGATGGAGCTTGGCACTACAACCATTTGATTTCACCATCCAGTATCGCCCAGGGAAACAAAATGGACGGGTTGTCCAGACAGACAGAACTCGATAAATGATCTGTGAGCACTCCTCCGGACATCCCCAAGCAGATCCGTTGGGATCAGACTGTGTATGCCGGCTTGGTTCTGGGGGAGCATTGTGGCAAACCGGGCACTTGGACTAATTATTCTATGCAAATGGGTGCTAAACCAAGTGAATAACTGCACGAACAGACTTTAATGTTATTTTACTGTTTTTTTATGCGAATGCCCGAAACTTTCCTATTCGGCTGTTTACAGCATTCATATGGTTTCCTGTTCGGCGGTTTTGGTGTTCTGCAGTAGCTGTGCCTGCATCTCTGGAAAGGGGGCCGATCGCCTAAACGGTTTTTACCCCTTGTCTGCAAAACGGTCCGTTACAATTGGTGGCAAGCGGCGGGATC